TTCATTGAAATGAAAAATAAACAACCTAAATTTAAAAAAAACAACAAAAAAAATAAATAAACAAATCAAAAGACAAAAAAAAAAGAACCTCCTCCTTAATCATTAGAAATAAGGTATAGCCCACTATACGTGATTTGTCATAAAGTGCCTCCAAATGAAAATACTTCCCACTACCTACAGACTTAGTGTTGAAACCACTTGTGGTTTCTTTTGAAAGTGAAAGACTAAATTGTCCCCAGGAATTAGTTCACTCATGATCTGCTGTCGTCAGAAGAACTCTGGATACTTGTGGAAGCTGAGGTTCCAGTGGCGGTGGGGTCAATTCCAACTCAGGGGAGCCCCATGTGTGTAGTAAAAGGACTCCACTGGGTTTTCCAGGCTGTGACCTTTTGGAAGCAGACTGCCAGGTCTATCCTTTGAAGTGCCTTTGGGTTAGCAGTTCTGTGCTTAACTGCCTGTGTCACCTAGGGACTCCACTTAGTGGAAAGGAGGGTATTAAAACAATTTCCCCATCAAAACCCAACCCAAACAAACAAAAACCTCTCTGATTTGGGAAGGTAAATCATATAATTCCTACTTGGCAAATCTATACTAGTTGGCTACAGAACAAAAGGAACTATCTGAATCCAAACTATTGACTCTTAATCCTTTAATTAGACTAAGTCCTTAAGAAGGAAGCACAAGTCATTGTTAAGGAAGGAAATCAATAGAAAATATGGACTGTCATATACATTCACACACATATGCATACATACGTGATTCAGTGTATTAATATGAATATAGAAATGGATAAACACTCACAGTGAAGGGTTCAGAATCTAAAGGGACATTTATTTGCTGAAGAAAATGATGATTTGGAACATTAAAAAAAGTTGTTCTGGGAATATCATTTGGGAAGCATGTGGTGAGAGGGCGAGACTCGGCAAACCATGGGCATGTTAAAAGATGTGCACAAACTATCTCTGAGTTAACTATGTTCTGACTTCAGGCCAAAGATTTTTTTTGCCCTGGCACGTGCTGAGATGTGAGTGGTCGGAAGGCCTTGGTTGGAAAGAATTTATTTGGAACTTTTCTTCTTTTTCTTCTTCTTTTTCACTGGCATTTCATCTAGCACAGGGTCCACTACTGTCTCTACTTGCTTTTTTGCCTTTTTCTTATCTTTCTTTTTTTTTTTGGGGCTTTGGGCTAAAGTCCTGGTCATCTGCTGGCCACATACAACTCTCTCCATTCTCAGCAGAAAATTGAGAATTTTCACCACAGTAGGGGTCTCTGACCTGCTGTCCCACTTGGTCTCTTTTCTTTTTGGCCTCACACTTGGGGTGCTCATCTTGTTCCCAAAGCTTTTCCTTTTTAGGCTGCTTGATCTTGGGTTGGGTGTTATTGTCCACATTTTCATCTTCTGTTTCTTTGTTTCTTTTCTTTCCCCTTTTCCATTCAGTCTGGTTATCTGAATGGTCAGCATCTATCTCTGCGATTTGTGGCTTGTTCTTCAGCTCTGCCATCCTCTTGGCAAAATATTCCTGGATGGTTAAGGTACTGGTGGTGGTAGTTTCATTCTCTTCCACAGGAGTGGGGCTGGATTCATCCTAAGGGGAGAGGAAAAAGTTACAACATAGTTAAATGTCAACTGCTTTTTCCTCAAAGTATCCCCAGAAGCCTCTACTTAGACTAGCCAGTCATTCAACACTGCTCTTGTTATGCACCTGTGAGTTGGAACTGACTCACTGCTGACCCTCCAGAGGGTGTTCAGAGCAAGTAAATTGAATGGGAGGACACTGCTCATCTCTCTCCTAAGGATTCGATCCTTGTGTCTTCGGGTTGGCAGTGGAACTCCTGACCACTAAGCTGCCAGAGCTCCTTTAAAATTAGCCGCTAGGAAACAAGGCTTATAGCTCAATAATTCTCTCTCTCCTCTGAACTGTGAAGTATAAAACAGGAGGCAATATAATTTGGTTGAATTCTGTAGGAGGTGATAGATTGAACATTCAGAATTTAACTTCAGAAAGTAACTGAATTATCCACTAGATGGACTTCTGAGTAAACAGCTCTTCAGCAGCGATCAGGTGCCTACAGTCTCCCATGAAAAACAGACACCAAAATTCTGAACCTTTGTGATATTTTTAGAAATGTGTTTCAGCTACATTATAGACCACACAGGCCTCTGTGTATTGACTGACCTAGAAATCCTTGCTATGAGAACAGGAGCCAACTTTCCACCTGGAACGTGGACAGTGAGGAGGAACAGCTTCCTTCTTCTCCATGCTGGAGAAGACACAAGCATCACACCTGCATGTGTGGTAACCGCCCCCAAGGGACAGGCCAGCCCACGGAGCCTGTCTTCCCTCTGGGGGTGGCACAAAGGGGGGCACCCTACCTCTACTTTGGCATGGACTATATCCTCATGCTATGTGTGTCTTATCTGCAAATTTCAGAACTGTCACAATTAAGTGAGACTTGTATTTTAATTTTAAATAAATCCATTGAGCTGTGATGCTAGAAAAGACCTAGAGAATTCCTAATATAAACATCTGAGATACATAATGAAATGATGTTATCAATACACAGATTCTGGTTGGTTGGCAAAGAGGCGATGAAAACACATGTGTGAAAAATAAAATCTCTCAAAAATCCGAAACTCATAGCCATCAGGTTGCTTCAGGTTCACAGTAGCCCTGTGTTACAGAGTGGAGGCGCTCCACAGCGCTCAGCTGTAGTCTTTACAGAAGCAGTTCCCAGGCCGTTCTCCTGTGATGCTGCATCACAGAGATGCTGAAAACAATCAAGTCGATAAACAACAGATAACAGTAAACTTGGGTTGTTAGTATTGCCTACATTCTTTTGTATGCATTCATTTCCACAGGAAAATCATTTGTACTATCTTTTTATATGAGGAATGTGGGAGGTTGGTTTCTGAATAAGGCAAATACCAAATCAGGATTCTACAAAATATGCTGAACGTGGCTGGTGAAAGCTCTGCTTGTGCAATTTAATTAAACATCATCACATACATAAGTGGATGCTGTATATACTCAACAATCAAAAAATGGCACTCAAAAATCATCTCACTGGAATGAAAAGTAACATCTCATTTAAAATGTCAACACCATAATGTAACAGCATTATATAAGTGGGCCTTAAATGGCAACTGCCCCAAGAGAGCTTTCACTTAAGGAAATCTTAACAATATTACTACTTGTCTAATTAACACAAAGTTTTACGGTGGGCTAAAGAAAACCCCACACCCAAACAAAACCGAGACCAACTCTGAAATTTCAAAATGCAAACTATGGAGAATAAGTGAATAAGTTAACGTAGTTCTGACAAGGAGTTCCAGTGTATCTGTCAGCATTCTTTTTTTTTTTTTTTTTGCTGGTATCCATCAGGCAATTTTCAGAAAAACAAAAACCAAACCAAAAAACCCATTCTCAAGATGTTCTTAGTGCAAACCAGTCCTCCTTTGAGTGACACGAAAGATCTTTCCTTCCACACATCACTGGAGGCACACACCCACAGCCACACACTCTCATACATTCTCTGTGAAGACGGCCTACTTATGTAAAATGGGACTCATTTATGGCTGTATGGCATTGAAAGGATCTTGTCTTACATGGGCTAACTCGTTTGGAATGCATTTGCATGCTGAGAACTCAAATTCAAGCCACAAGCTATGGCTCCTTACCTTGCTCATCTATTTATTATTTTCTATTAAATTGTCTTTGTCACGGTTTAATCAAAGAAACAAATTGCTAATATTATATAAGCTCTCAAGTATTAGAAAATACAAGAACTTTTTTGAGTCACTTGCTGAGTTTGGTGGGGCTTTCTAATCCTAGCAAACAACTACACTCAATTTCTACCATTAACTCCTCTGGTGATAAGGATTTGAATAACCATGGGCCACTGCACACCAAGTTTAGTGGGGCATGGAGACAAGCTAAAGAGGTGCCAGCCCTACTCCCATTTATCCCAAGGGAAGTGCAGGCAAAAGAATAACTCTGGAGAGGGCTGTTTAAGGCTAGCACAGCTACCTTTCAAAACTATGGGAATGTGTGTATTTAAAACAGAATATATGACAAATTTAAAACTCTCGTGAGAGTTATAGAGGAAAATGGTACAACATCTGGTTGCTACAGGATCAAAGCCCAGGATATATTATACACATAAATTAATAAATTTAGTTTTACTACAAAGATTATAATTCCTGTTTCTGAATTCTTGTGCAAACAAACTTTTAAAGAAAACTAATGGAGTATTTTTCACATTTAGTCTTTATCACAAAGTGAGCAGGTACTGAGGAAAGCATTGTTTACTTTTTAGTATTGTAAAACACTGATAATTTGAGTCTTTTTGACATTTCTATCAAACACATAACACAGTCACATACAAAATCTAGAATTTTCAAATGTGACTTACACTACTCTCTAACTTTGACACGATTCTAATTTGCTTGACAATGTATTTATAGAATGCTACCAAGGAACGTGTGCTTGCTGTTATTAAGCACTGTCGAGTCGACCCTAACTCATAGGAACCCATGCAGAACAGAACTAAATCTTGTCCAGTCTTGTCTCTGCTATGCTCAAATCCACTATTGCGGTCACTATGCCAATCCATCTTGTTGAAGGTCTTCCTCTAGCTAATCATTTTGCCAAACATTTGATTTATCAGGGATTCAGGGAACCTTCCCTGAAAAATTCAATGCCTGCTTTAAATGAATAAAGATAACTTCTAAAGTTACTCAGTCTAGCACAATATTTAGATAAAAGGACTAATTCTAAGGTTCTGTCAGTATTTATTTTTAAAAAGATACCTGAGCTAGTTATTATTTTATGATGTAAGAAGGAAAAAAATCAGTGTGTAAGTAGTAGCAGAGGTTAACGCACTTTATACAAAAATACCACCTTAACTGTCAAGCAAAAATACAGAGGTAAAAAAAATAATGTTCTTACAGTCTACATACACACAAAATTTGTATATCTACTTATCATCTGCAAGGGAGTTCTGGTAATCTACTGGGTAAGGAGTTGTGCTGCCAAGTCAGAGTCTATTCATAACCTCAGAAAACCATCAGCTACCAGTCAATTCTAACTTGACAGCGATGAACAACGTCATCTGTATGAAAGCATGAAGCCAATGATCAGACCCAAGAGCGCCTTCAAGTAGAGCTTAACTAGTCAAATACCACTTTGTACCTAATTTTAACACATGTTGTTGTTGTTATGTGCTGTCGAGTCGTTTGCGACTCATAGCGACCCTATGTACAACAGCCCTAAACCCTGCTCTATCCTGTGCCAATCGCATTGCCTCTGACACACCCATCCTGATTACCCCAGTCACTGAATCAATCCACCTCATAGAGGGTCTTCCCCTCCCGTGCTGTCCATCTACTCTACCCAGCATGATGTCCCTCTCTAAGGACCCATCCCTCCTGGCAACATGTCCAAAGTATGTCAGACGAAGCCCCAGAACCCTTGCCTCCAAGGAGTAGCCTGATTTAACCCTCTCTAGAATGAATCTGTTTGTTTTCTTGGCAGTTGATGGCACATTCAATACTCTTCTCCAGCACCACAGCTCAAAGGTGTCAATTCTCCTTCTTTCTTCCCTAGTCATTGTCCAACTCTCTGATGCATAACAAGTGATTGCAAAAACCATGGCCTGTATCAGGCGCACCTTAGTCTCTAGAGAGACACCGCTGCTCTTGAGTACTTTAGAGAGGTCCCTAACAGCAGATTTTCCCTTATAATACGTTTTTTTATTTCCTTGCTGCTGGTGCCAAGAGTGTTGACCGTGGAGCCGAACAAACTGAAGCTGTGAACAATCTCAATCCTTTGCCAACCATCCTGATGCTACCGATTGATCCAGTGGTGAGAACCTTTGTCTTCTTGACATTGAACCTCAGTCCATACTGAAGGCTGCAGTCCTTGACCCTCTGCAGTAAGTGCATGAGGTCCTCCTCAGTTTCAGCAAGCAGGGTTGTGTCATCTGCATAACGCAGACTGTTGATATTGTCCACCAATCCGAACGCCACGCTTCTCCTCATAGAGCCCAGCCTCTCGGATAATCTGCTCATAGCAGGCCGTAAATCACATAGGAGGAGATTGCACATCTTTCTCCCTTGGAGCAGGCTGGTGGATTTGAACCACCTGCCTTTGTGCTGGTAGCACAATTCCTTACCCACTTCTTATACATCTGAGAGCTGGACAATGAATATGAGTGAGAGAGGAATTGATGCCTTTGAGCTGTGGTGCTGGAGGAAAGTACTGACAATCCCATGGACAGCCAAAAGAACAAACAGATATGTCCCTGAGAAAGCGCAGCCAGAATGCTCCTGGGAGGCAAAGATAACAAAGTTTCATCAAACATACTTTGGGCATGTTGCTAGGAGACGCTCTTCCTTGCAGGGGGGGATGTGTTTGGAAAGCAAAAAGGAGGAAGATGGATTGACACAGTGACTGCAGCAGTGGGCTGGAGGTGTGTCAGAGATAATGATGGCACAGGACAGGACGGGGTTCAGATCTGTTGTTCACTGAGTTGCTATGAGTTGTACTCAGTTCAACAGCACCTAACAACAACAACAACAACAACA